ATATATATATATATATATATATATATATATATATATATATATATATATATATATATATATATATTCAACAGGGCCCTCTCCTCCTCTAACATGGCCTTCTCAGCCCTCAGCTCTTCTTCTAGCCGTCTCTCTCTTTTAGCTCGGTCATTTATTTCTAACTTGGCCGAAACAAGCAGGAGATTCAGCTGGGAGACCTGGTCCTTAGGCACGAGGAGTGACCGGACAACCTCTTCATAAATAGCTCCGGCCTGAAAAAGAGGTTTGTCAGTAAAAGTGAAAGAAATAATTAAACCGGGCGAAAATTAGAGATGGAATACCTTTTGAATTCTTTTGGCCAAAGCTAGGAAAACTTCTTCAATTGACTCCCCCTCCAGATCAAGTGACCCGGTCTTCTTCTTCTTCTTATCCCCCCTGGGACTCTTTTGGGAGCCCTTCCTTTTTTGTCCTCTGGCGCGAGAAGAAGAAGCACCAAACCCCTTGGATTTTGCTTTAACATGGGCTTGAGGGGAGTCAGCTCGGTCACCCTCGATGAGATGGGCGGCCGAGGGGGACTTCACCTTCTGGTCCCGAATGAGCTCGTAGAGAGGGGTGCACCGGGTAGCGGTGGCCTCTTCCTTTTTAGACACTTGGAGAGGGGAAGGAGGCTTAGAGAAAGGAGACTGGCCAGCGTGGAGGACTTCATCGTCAAACTCATCAAGGTCGACAAACCCGGGTGAAGTTCAAGTCTGCCAAAACAAAAATAACTGGTAACCGGTTAGATATTTCAACTACATAAAAAATGGAAAGGCAAAAGCTTGAGGAAAATTAACCGACCTGGATGGCCGGCCTCAGCATGACTATTCAGGGAGTTGGCCCGGTCATCCTCTGGGTCATTGGTCACAGAAGTACCCCCATCCGGGTTGGGTAACCAGTACACCCAGCCTCCGTAGGCGTAAGGCTTCCCGGTCACAGGATCACTCTTGAGAAGTTTCTCGCAGGCGTCCTCAAGCTCGGGCATGGGCTCCAGATGAACCCTTTCAGGTTTTATAACTTGGTCAGCCCACTTAGGGTTAGAGAAAGGAAATTGGTCAAGGGGGAATTCAATGAAAACGAATCTTTGTTTCCATTTTTATGACTGGGGGAAGACCGGTCACAAACCCCCTTTTATTAAGGGAATGGAAGTAAACAAAGCACGAGCAATTATTAGTCCCGGGCAAGACCTCGAACATATGAAGGAAGAGTTCGAGGAAGGGCTTGATTTTCAAAGAATCACAGATATTGACAAAACAATTTAAGAACTGGTGGGCGTTGGGAGTAAGCTGACCGGGCAGAATGTGAAACTTGTTACAGATTTCTCTAAGGAGGGGGCGAAGAGGAAAAATTATGCCACCCTCTAGAGAAGCAATATGGAAACCCAACCAGGTTCCTTGATGGGGCTCTATAACGTTGGGCCACGTGGTTTTAGAGAGGAGGATATAGCCCGGTGGGAGCAAAGAACGGACGTCAGACAAAACTTTTTTGGTGACCTTAGAAGGTGTCTTGAACACCGGTCTTACATCAAGGGCTAAGAAGCCAGTGATCCCAATCGTTCTTCCCATTCATCCAAGCTGAGAACTTTGGAGTTAAACCGACCAGGCATTTAGTTTAAGGGAACAGGCTCCTAGGAAAATATTTCCCGTGCCTGAGAGCTAGGCTTTTGGGAAGAATGGTGGATTAGAGGAGTTGGAGGGAGAGAAGAAGAGTCAGACTGGGTGGAGGAAGAGTGTTGAGAGCCTGACCCATAAGATTGGCCAGACACATTTTGACTATCATTAGAGGACGACATTGCACTATTCTACCGGTCAAAAATGGAAAGACGAAAGAATGAAAGACTAAGAGGACTGGAGGACTTACTTGGTGGAAAGCTAGATAGAGAAAGCACATCAGTCTAAGTTTGAAGAGCATAGAAGAGAAGTGAGGAAATGGAGTGGGTTGAAGGGGTATTTATAAGAGAGAGGGAGGAGGGTCGGAGTTCGAGGCGGCATGTGGAAGGCTGAGGGGGTGACACGTGGAGGAGGCAATGATGAAGGGGAATATTTGAATTTTGAATGTCGAAGGTGAAGGGTTTTGGGGGAAAACTCCAAAATTGAAAATCCAGGCATGACGCTTGGACTACCATGGATCCAAAAGGGACAGGTCAAAGGAATGACTCGGTGATTAAAAAAGGACAGGTTTGAAAGGAAGGCTTGATAACTTCAAAGGTGACACGTCTGAAAGGAAGGCTTGATAACTTCGAAAGTGACAGGTCTGAAAGGAAGGCTTAATAATTTCAAAAGTGACAGGTCTGAAAGGAAGGCTTGATTATTTCAAAGAAGGACAGGTCAAAGGAAAGGCTTGATTATTTCAAAGAAGGACACCTCAAAGGAAAGGCTTGATTATTTCAAAGAAGGACAGGTCAAGGGAAATACTTGATAATTTTAAAAAGTAACGGGCCAACATAAATATACTTCCCACCCTTGATGATTTCCTTACAAGGCTAGTAAGTGGAGGACTTCTTGATGGGTATATTCTTATACCCGGTCCGAATAACCGAAAGGGATAGGTCAAAAGTTGACCGGTCACTTTCCATGATCACAAAATCAGGACAACTCTTCGATTGAGACGGGTTGGAAATTGACCGGTCACTTTCCTTAAAAGGTGACCGGTCACATTTTGGGTGATAGCCAAAATGTTACCTAATGTTACGAAGGATATTCCGGAAGACCAAAGAGACGGGTTGATGTAACACCCTAATCTGTCCAGGTCTGCAGCCCCTTTCAGATTAAAGTATTAATTTGGTAATCGTAAAAATTTAAAACATTTCAAACACTTTTATTTATCACAATAATATTTTTCATAATATAAACAGTACGGAGTTTTAAATATTGCGGAAGCTTAACAATCATAATCACAAACATAATTTATTTATGTTCTTTGATTCAAAACCATCACATCCATTCCGACAATTTCGCCTCCGTCTGCCTCCAAGATCACGTCACTTCATTAACCTGCGTGTAGCAAATAAAACATACTACACGCTCAGCGTTGAAGCTGAGTAAGCATATCTAATGCATCGAACATCCATATAAATTGAATCTAAATTCGTAATCAAATCATTTGATATCATGCACATAATGTTCAGTTCAGATAATCAATAATTATTAAAAATTATTCATCATGCATTATTCAACATTTATATTCACATTCAATGTTCATCAGTCATTCATAATAATTGCAATATTCAATTCAATATTCATCATTCAATATTTACTCATATTCAATATTCAATATTCAATATTCAACAATATCCTTAAACTATTCTTAGTCTAAGGCCAATCACTTTAATATTTGTCAACCCTTAAACGAATTCTAGTTTAAATAATTAAACTATATTCCAGTATAAAATATTCCTAAATAATCCTTAAGCTAGGCCTAGTTTAAGATAAAAGGGTTTTGAAAATCTTAAACTTACCTTCACTTAAGGCCAACCAAAAACCGACAGCGTAGTGTTCACTGTTGGGTGGGTGGTACCCCCAAACGAGTAGGTACTCAAGTTTGGTTCTTAGATCCCGTACGTACGTTTTAACCCTAGCCATCGGAGTNGTTCATACCCGCAAGGCCTAACTTAAATAGGTATATCTTAGAGGTCTTCTAGATACCTTTCAAATCAACATTAATATGGGTATATCTTAGAGGTCTTCTAGATACCCTTAACAATACATTTTATTTTCACAATCATCAATATATTCATTATGATTTAATCATTCACAATTATCATTTTTAATCAGAATATTCATCAAGATTCAATCATCATAATAATCAATCAATAATCATTACCATAATCATCAATCAACATAATATTCAATAACAATTAGCGGCCTAGCTTCGGGTGTTAACACCCTAATTTACCGTCATGCATCACATAACATTTTTATTTGTTAAAAACATCATTTTTATTATGGTAAATCACTTTTCCAATGATCATCATCAATTGGTGGATTTTAGAGTATATATTTTCCGAATATTTTTGGAACAGGACCTGGACTTAAGAAAAATTGATTTTTATTTTAAAAAATAATCAATTAATACCTAAAAATATATTTTTATATTTAAAATAATCCATTAATATCTAAAAATCGATTTTTATATTTTAAATAATCAATTAATTGCTAAAAATCGATTTTTATATTTTAAATAATCAATTAGTTGCTAAAAATCGATTTTTATATTTTAAATAATCAATTAATTGCTAAAAATCGATTTTTATATTTTAAATAATCAATTAATTGCTAAAAATCGATTTTTATATTTTAAATAATCCATTAATTACTAGAAATCGATTTTTATATTTTAAATAATCAATTAATTACTAAAAATCGATTTTTATATTTAAAATAATCAATTAATACTTAAAAATCGCTTTTTATAATTAAAATAATCGATTAATAACGTTAAATCAATTTTTATGATTAAAATAATCCATTAATTCATAATAATCGATTTTTACAATTTAAATAATCAATTAATTCATAATAATCGATTTTTACAATATAAATAATCGATTAAATGGTACTGACTTCGAACCACTGCTCTGAATAAAATTCTAATCGATTTTTAGTAAGTAAATAATCGATTTTCGGCCACTGTTCATCATCCTTCCTCGGGTCAGTTTTAACATTATCATTTTTTAATCACCAAACTTCAATTAAATTTTATAAAAATGTTCTCCAATGTTCACAAATCATTTTAGAGTCATTATTTCGTAATTTTAACAACAATTTCATGGTTTATGATTCTTGGTTCTTCAAACATGTCAAACACAAAACTCAACCAAACGACCGTTTATGAACGTAGAAACGATCTATATGAACATTCTAGTCACTAGATATATCTACGGGCTTACCTCGAAGGTAAATGAAGGTTTTGAATATTTTCCGGTGAAACTTCCGGCGAACACCACTCCGGCGACCTCTCACCAAATTGACAGCACCATTGCGTTCTCCTTACTTTGAGCAACAGAATAGAACAAGGAAGTATAGGTTTTGGTGAAGAATTGAGAATGCTTAGCTCCCTTTATATAGTAGATTTGAGGAAGAAGAAGACACTCGTTGCTGAGCTTAGGAAGATTCACAATCGGCTTAGTGCGCTGGGAGGCGCCGTTCGCACAGTGTCCCTGATTGGGACCAATTTTGGTTCCAGTCGGGGTACACTTTTTGTCCAACTTTCTCCGAATTGAATTCCGTTTGAACCATTGCGATCGGGCAGTTAAACTCTATCTAACGATATAATTTTTATATTTATTTGTAATACTTTTTCCGACATCATATTTTTGGGTGTTTGACTTTAACAGAGTCAAAATTGGTTTAATTGACCTTTATTCAAAAAGGTTCTCAAATTTAATTCATATTATTTATTTCCATGATTTATTTCAATAAATCATTTCAAATTTCACATTATAAACAATTTCTTCATTTATTCTTAATTTGGGTCTGTACTCAGATTCCCAATCAAGATCACACAATAAATCAACATGTTGGATTTATCTGTATGAGATTTATCCCAATTACATTTGTTGGATATCAATATATATTTTATTTCAGCCCAAAGCCCAACAACAATTTATTTTAATCAAAACAAATTTTGTTTAATTGAATATTTAATTCAATAAATTTTAGGGTATATTTTGGGGCGTTACAGTTGAACTCAAGAAATGACCGGTCAGCCTTTGAGAAAAGGTGATTGGTCATATTCTTCTACTTAGCTAATGTTCGTCCATCCTCCCAAGCATGACAATCAGCATCAGAGGACAGGGGACCACCCCGCCGCTCATCCATCACGAGGCTTACAATGAAAGGAATATTTGTCATTTTGCAGGGTTGATTGGCTAGGGAGAATCTACCTTAAAGTCATTGATTAAATAGTACTTCTTGGTTGTATTCTTGACAAGTCCATGATTGAATAGTAATTCCATTATGTACAGTGACCTTCCCACGAGATTCCTATTTTGTGCATGGATAAAATTTATAAGTATTAAAAATTGTAAAAACACTAACTCGATGAAGCAATAACAATATGT